AGCCATTAAAGTCTTGTGCTAACATTCCAGTTTCAAAAACTAGATAGTGGCACCCAACAAAACAATACAGTGGCACCCTTCAGAACACGTAACTTCTTCCCTTACAACAGAACCATGAAGCAGTGGCCTATGCCACTGTATCTATCCATATGGGTATGCACTCATCTTATAATTCTGGACCCTTCATGGGAAACACTAACTACTAGTTGAGTTGGGGAAGATTTTATACATATTTTGGTTACAGTATGCAATTCCAAATCTTGAGGACAATGTGGTATCATAGAGTTTGTCTGATTATATGTTGATTATAAACAAAAAGAATGTCACAGAAATGTCTTACGAACCATCCTCCTTGGTTGATCGTACCTGAAATGGCGGTTAACGACAGTGACCCTGCTGCTGGAAGTGGGAGGACATTGTCAAGAAATTAGGCTGAAGAGATGGCATTCTGTATCCACCAGATTGAGGAACTCCGATTGTTGAATGAGGTATTGTACTGCTGTCAAACCAGTCAAAAATGATGGATAAGCAACAAGACCACACCTAAAATCTTCTTATATATAGGGCTCATAGCAGTACGATATCGTAACAGGGTAAAAAGGGAAGGTTCATATGTGAATTTTTGAAAAAATGTATTTGAAGATGCATGTGAATCGACATTACAAGCTATTCATATAGGTTCATACACACATCTTCGAATGGAGTTTTTTCAAATGAGTGAACCTTCACTTCTAACCTTCTCACGATATTTAGCTTTCTTATTTGAACCTTCCAATATGCATATATATATATATATATATATATATGTGTGTGTGTGTGTATGTAGAGAGAGAGAGAGAGAGAGAGAGAGAGTGCTAGGTTCAAAGGAAAACCCCTAAAAATGAAAAACTGAGGAACATCCTAACAACCATTCATCTGTATAATATGCACTGTGCATAAATGTAATTGATGTTTCCTGACTTCTATGCACGTGTGCACATTGTACAGATGAACGGTTATTAAGGTAAACAAGAATGCTAACTATTTAAGAGAATACGACAAACCATGTGCAAAATCACATGTGATTTTAAATTAATGGCCAAAATAGTATGCGAGCGACCCTATGGTCGGGTCTTCAGGTCACAGGGCAAAGTCGCGTGAATGATATGTGATTTTGTACGTGATGTTAGTGTAAAATCACATGAGATTCGACCATTCTCTTGTTCTATTAAATAGGTACCATTTTCGTTTGAACCCGACTCTCTCTCTCTCTCTCTCTCTCTCTCTCTCTCTATATATATATATATATATATCTTCTCATAAAAATTGAAACATCTTAAATACCACTTAATAATAACAAAAACAGAGAACCTTTGTCAACTCAAATCAATATTAGTAACTCTTCGTAACGGTGACAATGGACAAGTAACAAATTTTAGAATAAAATTTATAAAAGAAAACATCTGCATTTTTCATAGGAGACCCTAAAAAGGATAATGTTGCAACTTTCATAGACAGAAGAAGTACATAAAAATCATTCGAAACATCTAAAGAAAGAAACCTGAATGTTAATGACAACGAAGATTCCACCGGCGCTTGAATACCATGGTGATCAGGGGGGAGGAGTGACCAGAAAACTGAAAAGAAAGAGCAGCCATTGCCAATTTCCTACTTCAGATATAGAAGGTAGCTAATCACTACTCTCTCTGTCCCAAAATAAGTGCTCCACATTTCTATTTTAGTTTGACCCCAAAATAAGTGTTCCATATTTCTATTTTAGTTTGTCCATAAATAAGTGTTCGCTTTCAAAGGTAACAAACGGTACACTTAATTATGAGATGGAGAAATTCATTACTTCCTCGGTTATTAAGGGTAAAATTGTCATTTAGTTAATTAAAAAAAGGAAAAGTTACATATTCTAAAACTATTGTGCCTTTTTCATTGTGGACATTTATTTTGGGACGGAGGGTGTATTCTTCCTAGAAGTATGGATAGCGATATTTATTGACGAAATAGAAAAGTACCCGAGTGTTGTGCTTCATCCTCATAGTCCGAGCAGAAGAGAAGATCCTGCACGAAAGGTTGAATTATTAAGAAAACATAGTCTTGTTTCATTCCTAGGATCATCAGAAAACTACTTTCAAGTTCTTTTCGAACATATCCCTACAAACTCACCTGTCTTGTGCTTCTAGTCTTATGGACCATTTCTGCATAAACGGAAAAAAAGAGAACGTATGAAATTCTAATTCGATCAAATGTGTTCGGGGGAAAGGTGAAATTTGTTACCGATATTGGAAATACTAGGATTCACTGCCAGAGTCAACCCCAAAAAACAATCGTCTGTTTTACTGCTGAAATCCCAGAGATCCAACTCAAGATTTGGCTGTGATCCTGTATAATCATTTGTTAACATATTATCATCATCATAATATAACAATGGCATTTGCTCGATCAATTTGTTTCGAAATACCCACTCGTGTTTTCCATCTTCAGCTGAAGTGGGTCCCCAAGTTGACAAGGAATCCATGTGTTAACCTACGTATTGCAAGTTGGAACACATGAGATGGTTTAACAAATACTCCGTACCAAAATAAGTGTTCGCTCACTTTCCAATTCTACCCTTAATTATGAGATGGATAAATTCATTCCTCCCTCTATTATTAAGGGTGTAATTGTCATTTTAGGGTCAGGTTCAAAAGGAAAACCGCAAAAATGAAAAAAATGAGAAACACCCTAGTAACAATTTATCTGTATGGTACGCACATGTATATACAAGTAATTTGTAAGTAATTTTTCCGGTATGCACATGTGCATAACATGGATACGTGCATAGAAATCAGGAAACATCTTCGTTTACTTGTATGCACATATGCACACCATACAGATGAACTGTTATTAGGGCGTTTCTCAATTTTCATTTCTTAGGGTTTCCCTCCCTATGTCATTTTATTAATTAAAACGTGTAATAATTACACGTTTGTAAAACCGTATGCTTTTTCATCATGGACATTTATTTTGGGATGGAGGGAGTAGTCTTAAAAGTATATGCAAAACGCCTGAACAAACACATTACATAGAAAAACGGATGTTGTAAGCACTGCTCTGCGGTCGGCCTCCTTAATGGGTCCCACGAACATAGTTGCTACATTACCATAAAAAGTCAAAATCTGGAAAAAAAACAATTATGTAGCCCGACTTAACAAGCCAATTAGAAGTGCACATAAGGCCGATCCTACAGAATGCCACTCACTTTGATCAAATTAATAGCTTCCGAGCTCGCATTTGGTATCAGGTCCGAGAGATTTGCGGGCATAATCTATTCACACAGAAGGAATTTAAGGTGAGATAGCCAACAAAAGAGGACATGGTCCTCATTAATGATATTAAAGCTAGACTCACCTCCGAATAACTGATATCCATTAATCGAACAACATTCCTTGCTTCACGAAAGAGTGTCCAATCTGGTGTACCAAGAACACAGCATATCTTGTACAACTGATCTATTTCACTGTCCAATCATAACAGCAAATATCTCTAATCATCTTTAAAGCTTAGCTTTTAAAAGGAAAAAAATGTTCTTGACTGAAAGTACTGGGATCATTCAGTAATGAAGTTAAGTATTTCTAAGGGGCTGTTTGGTTGGTTTTCCATTAAGTCCTGTATGGATAAAGCTGTCTGTGTGGATTAATTTGTCTGTATAGATTGGGAAGGTTTTTTTTCCCGAAGAGTTTGTTCATAGATGGACGTACATTAGGTAGAATACGTTGTGAGTCCATTAAGCCACTACCAAACAGTCATGTATAGCTGACCGAATAAGTTGTGAGTCCCATTAAGCTCGTTAAGCTGCTAACAACAGGCCCTAAGAAACCAGCAACCACACAAAAATGCACCGATCCTCTGTTTTGATATATACCAACCAAACGAGCCTATTATATCCCACTCAAAAGTAGGGTTTGGGAGGGGTAGGATACTTTACCTCAACCACTAGGACCGAGAGGCTGTTTCCGTGGAGACCCCAAGATGGGCACGAAACAAAGGTGTGTGCAAGCGGGCAATAAGATAGGTAATATAACAGGTAACCGGGATATACATCAGGTAGAATACGATTCAATGGTGTGTGCACGATCTTATGTTTTGATAATTCATGTAACAATCAAGGTTACATAAGAAAGTCACCTTTCACCAGGAAACAACGGGGACGAAGTGAAAAGTTCAGCGAGTATTGCACCGACTGCCCACATATCTGTCACGAACTTCATTTGTCAGTACACTGTACACGGAGCTACAAATTATATACTATCAACTGGTCTTTAAAGATAGCAGATAAAGAAAAATCATCACTAGTTTCCCTGCAAACGTTTTTATCTCATTCATATGCATCTTCTATTATATCATGCAGAGGGAAGCGGATAAGTATTTAGGTCCTAAATGTAAGGGTCATTTCACATTTTCATGGGGATCCCCTTTGAATAATGTGGGGAGAATGAAGATGTGATCAGTGGGTCGGGCCCCATTTACTTAATGCAGGGAGAAATGATGGGACCACAAAATGAAGAATTAAGAATGGAGGAAATGATATAAAAGAATCGTATCCTATCATGACTTCATGAGCGAGGCTCGTTACACGCACTGCATACCTATAGCAGGAGTGTATGATGAAGATTGCAACAGGACTTCTGGTGCTCGATACCTTGCCAAAAAAAGACATGTATAGTCATACAACAAGGTGATCCAAATTACTAAAATGAAAAAATGATATTCCCTTTGTCCCAAAATAAATGTCCACAATGAAAAAGACGCCGCTTTAGATATATGTAACTATTACACTTAGTCGCCTCAATGTGGTGGAATATCCCATCTGCCCTGGGTTCAATTCCATGCGTCCAGAACAATTGTAGCCTCTGAGTTTATCAAGGCTGATGTTTTGACGCAATTTGCCGGAATTAGTCTGGGCATAGCCCGGGACACCCTTCCAAAAAAATTATAGTAATGAATTTCTCTATCTCATAATTAAGGGTAGAATCGGAAGGTAGGCACTTACTTCCGATGGTAGAAACTTATTTTGGGACAAACTAAAAAAATAGAAATGTGGAAGCTCATTTTAGTACGGACCGAGTATTTTGTGAAAAAAATGGAAAGGAAAAGGGACAGCACTATGCAAGTACTCACCAGCGAGTGGAAACATAATCAGTAAAAGGAGGCGCAGATGACACTTCTCTAGCCAGGCCGAAATCAGCAATTTTAATAGTATTGTTGGTCACCAGCAAATTCTCTAAAAATGTAAAAATATTTACATAATTTTGCATAAATAAATTGAAGGTCTGAGCAAGATACAAAGTCCCGGGGAGTAGAATCTATACCAGGTTTTAGGTCCCGATGAAAATATTCACTTCTGTGCATATGTACAAGTCCTTGCAGAAGCTGAGTCATCAGACCCCTAATCTCGTCCTCACTGAAAGGTCTTTGTCGTTCTCTCATTATGTCGTACAGATTATGTTCCTAAATAGAACATCACATAAGTCGTATTATTTAAGATGGTAGAAAAATGTGCAAAATACAAGATAAAAATGATTTTCATGACCATACTTTCAGTATCTACACGAACTACCAGAAGCAAACTCTACTTAATTCACAAAACGAAATTAAATTATGCCTATAAACATGCCCACAGATCCACAATATCATAATAGTCTTGCAAGAGTGAGGTTCAGGGGAAACCCCACCCCCTGGAAAAAAAATGAAAAACTGAGGAACACCCTCATAACCATTCATTTGTATGGTAATGCACATGTGCATACAAATAATTAAAGATGTTTCCTGGTTTTAATGCACGTGTGCATGTTATGCACAATTGCATACCAGAAAAGTTACTTACAAAATTACTTGTATGTACATGTGCATACCATGCAGATGAAATGGTTACTGGGGTGTTCCTCAGTTTTTAAATTTTTTGCGATTTTCCCCCGAACCTGACCCTAGTCTTGCATTCCCTATGCGTTAAGAAACAAATCAAATAAATACCAAACCGAACCAAATAAACTCATAATGAAGACAATTAGAAAAAACCTTTATACAACGTTGACTGTTAAGATCGGAAAAAGAAATTGCCACGATAAATACGAGGATGAAAAAGGGATTTTATTTAACCATCCGAAGGAGATATAGACAAGAAAATATGGGTGATGTAAGATGGACATAGTAGCAATACCATGTATTCAAAGATGAAGAATAGCTCATTGTTCTCCCTGACAACCTCCTTCAGCTTTATGATGTTAGGATGATTCAATTTTCGGAGGGACTGTGCCAGGAGGAAAACAGGGGAAGTTAACTTTTAAGAAATCTTGTTTCACATAATTCAAGAAAACAGCAGAATAAGTTGATGTCACATAACGGAACTAATGAATACAAATATAAAATACCTTAACTTCCCGCAAATTCATACATTCTTCCCAAACATAATACTTTCTCTTCATCTTCTTAACTGCAACCTGTAATAAATGTTTGTTGGCAACTATTAAACAAAAACATATATCCACACGAACAATTTCCATGCTGGAAATAAGTTCTGTTTGTAATAAGTGTTTCAAACTATGACTTAAAGGTCATATGAATTATTATAGAATGAAGGACATTCTCTTTTTCGATTCAGCAATAAATTTTGTCTTATGGGTGGAATGTCGACTGATAAGGATGGGAGAAACCTAGTTAAATGCAGCTCAGGTTCTGAAAATGACTTGCTCAAACTCAAAAAATAGCATTTTGACCGACTACTTTGCACTCGGACGCATATATCAAAAGTGATTATGGTGTCAACCTTCACCATTGTATGTTCGGTTGTCATAAAGAATTGATTTTAAAATAGAAAATGTCATGCATACCCCGACAGTACATAAATACACATCATTTTCAGTTGAATATATCAATCATTAGTGCAAGATATTGATCTGTTACCATTAGCTGAAAAAAACGAATTTTACTTGATAGCTTTTCTGTAAATTATGTTCGCTTGTTTCGGCCTGATGACTGTGCAGAAAGTTAAGTGAAAATTAAGCCAGAACGCTTCACATTGAACTAGCAAGAAACAGGCGTTTATGTTTTCCATTAAAAACAACCTGCTTATCCTCTTTTAGGACTTAAAGATCAGGGCGTGTTTATTAGCAGCTTAATGAGCTTATGGGACTCACAGCTTATTTGATAAGCTAAACATGATTGTTTGCTAGTGACTTAGTGATATAGAAAGTGGCTTATTCAATAAGCTTTTATGGGGAGCTTTATGCAGAAAGCCAAAAAAAAATCCAAACCTGCCCCTCCCGATTAAAAAAAACATGCTCCTTTCCATGTATGAAAAAACCCTCCCAAACAAAAACTTTCCAAATCTATACAGACAGATTAATCCACACGACAGCTTTATCCATTCGTGACTTAATGGAAAACCAACCAAACTGCCCCTAACTTCCATAATGGATCCTTAAACAGGGGCAAAAAGGGCAGCAAACAACTATACCAAGCAAGAAAATTGTTAGTGATTGTTCAAGCGGAAAGAACTAACAATTTCAGATGTCTCCAGGTTGATGGCCTTATATACAGTTCCACAAGTTCCATCTCCAATCTCTTCTATACTTTTATATCTGAAAATAATAATTAATCAAAAAAAGTAAGCAGCCAAGCTTACAAAAGACAAAGAAATGAAACCATAAACAAGAAAATATTAACAACAGTTATATGAGCATCGGAATATTATGTAACCTACTTTTCCATTACTGACACTGTAGCAAATAATTGATCAATTTGTCAATGGACTTCCAAGGTCCAAAAAGAGGCTTCTACACTGTTATGACAGTGTTCTTCGCTTGCTTGTAGACTACCATTAGTGATTAGGTGCAACAAACTATGCAGCGTATCATGGAAACCCCACTTTTCACTGTAAGGATGATTAAGCATCAACTTGAAAGCAATCAACATGCTTAAATGCAGCCTCTACAAGCTGCAACCAATTGCTATCATCTAAAACTCGTCAATGTTGTCTACAATTTGCATATCTTTCTGCTGTTATTTCAGTATGTTAATGATTCAACATGGTTGAAAAGGTTCACTTAGGTCGATCAATTTGATCTACTTCTTCATACATTTCAACCTGCATAGAAAAAACTGGACTATGTCAAACCGTAAGTATAATCCATTAAGAAAATTTTGAGATCTCAACATGCTGAATGGGTACTCTGACCAAGGTTCAAAATGGTATGAGGCTAGCAGCTTAATGTACACAAATACATACAAACTTTGCTAGCCTTTTTTTTTGCTATACATTTAAGAGTTATATTCAAGGCCTGTTTGCTAGCAGCTTAATGAGTTTAATGGGACTCACAGCTGTCAACTATACATAACTGTTTGGTAGTGGCTTAATGATATAGAAAGTATCTTATTTAGTAAGCTTCTATAGGTGTGCTTTATGCAGAAATCCAAGTTTTTTCCAAACCTGTCCATCCTAATTAAAGAAGTCGCTCATTCCATCCATGAAAAACCCTCTCAAACAAAAACCTTCCTAATGTATACAAATAAAAACAAATTTTATCCATATAGGACTTAATGAAAAACCAACCAAACAGCCTCTCAATTGTTGATAAACAATTGAATCACAAGATCACTTTGAAATAGGCTAGCAAACATCTGGTTACCCTTTGACCACAGGATTCATATGAAACGATAAGTTAAACCATTAGTAGTCTTAAACAATAAAAACTGGTGATCGTCAACATCAAGACAGGTTAAATTACACTTTAGAAAATCTTATATAAAGAGTTTCAAATGTACAAAGAATCCCCAATTGAGTAGTTTTGAACTAATTCCAAGAAAATTCAAATACACAACAAATTCCTAAAACTATTTCATATAATTTATTTCATATAAAAAATGTCTACAACTGAAAACTAAAATTTTACCCCAAAACTATGAACTCAGTAGTTTCACCAACAATCTTGGAGAGAAAAACTAAATCCACAAAACCAACATGAAAAGCACGATTGAAAGAGTAGAACCAGAAGTAATCAGCACTAAAATCCGTATATTTATAGAATGCAAATGAAAATTGAACCTTTAATCACTTCTTAAAAAGAACTGGATCGAAAATTGGGGAAAATGCCAATTGAATTAAAGCGCAAACTCACCGTAAATTACAAGCCCAAGATTCGAATATAGGGAGATAGAAAATCCAGAATTCAGATCAGCAATGCAAGAACAAATTCGCTGAAATTACAAGAGAGAAGATGTTATGAATTTAATGGTGTTGGTATATAACAGCCAAATCCGCAGAAGAAGCTATGGAGAAGAACCTAATGAAATAAAATAATTTATTTCATATAGAAATTTACATTTGGCCCCTTAAACTATAGATATATGTCCAAACTTGTCCCTCTAGTTTCGATTATATCAAATTTACCACTAAATTCAATAATGTGAGATTTGTTGGTTCTCATAGCTTGAGTTACTAACTTAAGTATGTCGTCTTGTGAATGGCACGTTAACTATTTAAGGACAGATTTGTAATTATAATCTATGGTTGCAAACATTCTTCTATTTGTTTATAACAGTTAAGGTGCATCCTCTTCTCCAAGTTAGAAAAAAAAATATAGTTGTAATTTACTGGTAGTGTTATTTAGGGATTGATCCATAAATTTTTTCAAACGATGACACCATTTGACTAAGAAAATGACACTAATAAGATTCGAAATTGAGTCTAAGGTGGAATAAAAGTCTTGCAAACCAACTCTATCAAATAAAACTTGTTCTCATTGTAGTTTTAAAATGCATACGGTGGCATACAAATTAATACGGTTGCATCTTTCACGAACCTAATTTTTTTTACCCTTCAACGAAGGAATAATACGGTGGCACGTGCCACCGTATGCCCTATAGTAGGTCCGTCCATGGTGTCATTACAAATTGCAAGTTCAAAAGTCTTTGGCGCTGGTAAATATTTTGGTAACTGGCAAAAATTAACTGTATGTGATTTTTAATTAAACTGTGTTTTTATAATTCGCTTAAGTTATTTAATATATTAATTATTTTGTCACCGCTTGGGAAATTTTCTAGATCTTCCATTCTTGTCGATAACAACTATGAAATTTTCCTGGGCCTTGGAGTAAGTTGATGGTAGTTTTGAAGACCTTTACTGTATGTATTTACAACGCTCTGTTAAATTTAACACTGTTTATTCGTTACTCCATAGATTATACTAAAAAAACGTTTCAGATTATATTATTATTTGTGTTTTCTTTCCAATCAATGTGGGACAGTATTTTTCATACCCAACATTCATTTTCAGTTGCAACACTTTTATAATCAATTTATAATGCAGTTGAACTCCATTTTAGGCATATATCAAAACTAATAGCAGACATATGACTACACAAACCCACAAACTTTTTTTCCAATTCAAGTTAAGACCGAACCGTTTTTTAGTCTAAAATTCATAAACCCCGTTTTTTTTTTTTTTTTGCATTTTCCAACACCTACTAACAATGAAGTACTGACATTTACGAGCAACGGCTAGAGAAGTCATTTACTCGTTAAGACAGTCGTGTTTTGCAACATGGTATTGTTTTATCCTGAAAAATGAAGGGATGTGGTGGAATATCTTATCTATCTCGGATTCGAATCTAGGTGGTCATGCTTAGTCTCAGACAGCTGTAATCTGTCAGGATGCAATCTAGGAATTTGCTTAGATGGAACTTTCCGGAAGAAAAAATGTAGGGTTAAAATTTACAAGGATAATAGGTCATGTGGTAAAAATGTTACATTTGTAACGTGATGGACGAATTTAGCAATTCATCCTAAGTTCAGGGTCTTCCGATAATATATTAAATATGAATGGATATATAGCAAATAAATAATCAATTTTATATTATTTAATAAGATATTAAACTATTATAAATAAAAAAGTATAAAATATTCGATTGGTTGCGGGGAAAAGGTAGACTATACGACACATTTTCATGTGAATTTACAAATACACCCTTGGATTAATGGTATATTAACAACTAAAGGAATTTATGAACAGAAAGCAAGCAAACGCGTTGGCATAAATTCAACCACAAAGTCCACAACGACTATACATTAAAAAGGAGAAATTAAGATGCTTTTTAACATGTTAAATGTGAGATTTTGAATAGGTTTTTTAAAATTTTGAGTCCCAATTTTACATATGTTTAGGACATTTTTATCAATCTGTATAAAGCTATACTCTTATAGTCCAAATTGTTTAGGTTCAAATTGTTAATTGTTTAGGTTTAGATACAAATTATTAATGGTTTAGATTCAGGTTAGGTTCAGATTGTTGATCGTTTAGGATTAACGTCCTTTTGTGCTTAACATATATCTATGATTTATACTTATGCAATGTCATCAAAAGTTATAGATGCAACATGACCTCCAAAAAGATTGGAACGTCCCTGAGAAACTTGTATTTTATATATGATCGAACGATAATACGATTATAATTGTGTAATTTGTTAAAAAAATATGTTTTTATAATGTATTTTAGTTGGTATATAATGAACTAAATGCATGAAATAACAATCTACTTTCACAAATTGTATTATATAGTATTGTACATTCATTTTCTCTTATTAAAGCAATATACTTTCAAATATTTTTTTATTAAAATATTATATTTTAAAAAATTACATATTATAGCAACGAGTAACGTTTTGATTTGAATTAGTATAACATGTCATAGATTATCATATTGTCATGTCCATATGGGACATAATATAGTGTTGATTTTATAACAATATTGTACTTAAAAAAAATTAATTTTATATATTTATACTATATTATAAAGCATTTGACAAAAACTCTTAAAAATACTTTTTTATGTATGAAGTACTGTTTATTGATACATATTTGGTTCACGTGAAGCCAAATTGTTTTAGTGAGACCTGTGAGACTACTTTTTACACTTGAAAGCTCATAGCAAAATACTGTGAATGTAAAAAAAAAATCGAACTTTCACAGAAAAAACACAGTGAAGGTTACCTTCACAATGTTTTGTTTGTGAAGTTTCAAGTATAAAAAAATGATGTCACAAGTCTCATAAAAACAAGTTGATCTCACGTGATCCGAGGTATAGTAAACAACCCATTCAACCATTTATTTTTAGATAAAAAGTGATAAAAGTTCACTCAATGCATATTCAAAATACCTCTTTTTTTATGAGAATGCAAGAATATTTATGGGCCTCTGAATTATTTAAACCATAATTATAATTAAAAGAAAATAAACTAATTAATTAAGAAAATCAAGTGATCTCGTAATTATCCATAATTTTGGTAACATCTTTATCTCTAAAATCACATACTTCTAATATGTTAACCAATATTAAATAATTACCATAACAAAATCACATGATGAACAAACAAAACAATGAATGTAGACATGATCGTCATTTGTTTTTAATTATCACAATATTATTACATCGTTATCACAATAAATATCACATAATTATTAGATGATTGTCACATTAAATCCACATCATAAAAGATCTTCAACTTATCAAATCATTATCACAGTAAAATCATATAATCATCACAATTTTATCACCTCATAATCGACAATTAACACATCGACATAAAAAGTCTATGATGAAAATAACAAAATTTAAGAGATAAAGATAAATCTACTGTAACTAAAAATTATGGATGAATACCAATTAATTTTCATTTATTCTAATTTGTATTTTATATATATATATATATATATATGTGTGTGTGTGTGTGTGTGTGTGTGTGTAATTGAGTTCTAATGAGAATGAAAGTCATAATGAGAAGCGTAAAAAGAGATCTGCATCATTGTATCGATCATAATTGAATATCAATACAAATATGGTGCACCAAGATGCATCAAATCAATTTTCTTCTAAAACACAACTTATAGGGAATATAAAATTAAAAATGATCAAAGATTCAAATCTTTTCTTAAGCTTCTCACGTTAACTCTTTTTTTCATATCATTTTCCGCCTATATTGGTTTACAGGCACATTCAAGAATATTCTTGTATTCTCGGTCTTTCGTTTCAACTTTCAAAAGAGTTTCAAAGGTATTTTGGGGCTTGCACAAACTTTTACATGATGTCAATATGTTATAAAAAAAAGTCAATAAATTCATAATTATAGGTTTGGGTTTTGATGAGAAAAGAATTTATGGGGGAAAGGTAAGAATAGATCTCTACCTTTTGATCAATTTTAGTTGAAGATCAACACCAATTAGATGCACAATATGCACTGGATCAAAACCCTCTGAGAAGTGCAATTGATGAGGTGAGGTTAAAGTTAAAAAAGTGATACAGGGTCTGGTGTAAACGAGCCAAGCCGAGTCGAGTAGTAGGTTATTCGAGCTAGACACAAAATAATTATACAAGACTCGAGCTCGAATAACTTTTTCAATGTAGGACTCGAGCTCGATGCTCGTTTTATGGGCTCGTACTCACAGTCGATTAACTCGTTTAGTGGTTCGAGATTAATAATTTTTATATTTTTATTATATTATTTATGAACATATAAGAGCATGTTTGGCTCGAAAAAGTATATGATCGAATTGTTCGGTTCGACTCGAAAATTTTAATTGAGCTTTCAAATGAGTCGAACATTGGTTTGTTAAAGCTCGACTCTTAAGTTAAACGGGTTATATTTTGTGTTCAATATCAACTCGAGCTCGAGAATTATTAAGCTCATGCTCGAGATAAACGAGCTCAAGCCCAAGTAGCCCGTTAAAAGCTCGACTCGTTTACACACCTAAGTCCAGGTCCTTTCTTACGTTTCTCACCTTAACTTCTATTTTCACACATACATGCTTTTGATTTTAAAAATGCCAAATAACACAGAAATAGTTTAAATAATAACTTTCTTATAAACACTTATTTATATAGATATCTTACAAAAGAATAAATTAAAACACGATTCGTACAATAGTTACAAATGTAAATTTACACACGTATATAAAGGCTATATATAACAGGTTGGGTTCCGGTGAGGAAAGAAGTTATGATGAGAAGCGCAAGAAAAGATATCCATCCTTTAATCAATCTTAATTGAATGTCTAACACTAATGAAGTGCACCAAGATGCACCGAATCAATTCCATTCTATATTACAATGCTTGGATGAGCATAAGATTAAAAATAATCAAGGGTTCAGATTTCTTCTTACGCTTCTCATCATGACTTCCTTTCTCACACGATCCAGCGCATTATATATATTATATATATAAAAGACTTATAAGTCCAACCATTCAACTATGGTTCAACGATAATTTTACCGGTAGCATGCCCATCAATGCTCTTGGCCCAAGCCTCTTCTGCTTTGTTTAAAGGATTTTTCGAGTCGATTACGGTTTTAAGTTTCCCTTCTTTCACCAACCCAACCAGATAATCCAGGTTTTTAGCTTTCGGGAACAAAAGAATCGGCACCAGCTGTTTTTTCGAGCAGCTGAGTTTCTTCACAATAGCCGTCCAGAATGCGGTAGCCCCAGGAGCTATATCTACGACCTTCCCTTTCGAGCTAAGATTGGGCTCGAAAGTAGACCACGGAATAGGCGTTGCACAATGGATCACCACGTCGTATTTCTTATCTGACGGGCTTTTCAGTGCTGCTCCTTCGGGGGATTTGTAGTCGAGAACCTCGTCCGCACCTAGGCTTTTAACGAGGTCTATGTTGCGGGCCCCACAAGTGGCAGTGACGTGGACGTTGCCTAGCTTTGCCAGCTGGACTGCGAATTGGCCTACACCACCGGAAGCGGCGGTGATGAGGATGTTGGTGGTGGAGGTGGTGGTTTTCTCGAGGGTAATACCGGCGTGATAAGTGAGGGCTTGGAGAGCTGTAAGGCCAGCCACAGGCAGCCCAGCACCTTCAGCTGCGGATACCTCTGGCGGTCTACAAACAGTCAGTTTTTCGCTACTCACGGCGTACTCCGATAGTCCTCCACCTTTCTGTGAGGTTACATGATCAATAAATAATAAATAACAGAACACATAAACACGGTGGATCAAGTCAACAAGATCGATTTGGTCATGTTTCGCTATAATGGGCTAACTTATCTTTTGAGCTTTATTGAAAAGACCCGTTTGGTTTGCCCATTAGCTAGCTTATCAGTGCCCGATTGCAGGTAATGTCATAATTTTCAAGAAAAACTGCTTCAAATTGTTTTTCAATAAGCTCTAGTAGTTTTTTCCCCACTTTTTTCTAATTTGCCCCTTAATTTTTTAAACTTTCAACATGTACTTTTATGTCATTTACATTGTCATCTAGTTTATCTGCTAGTTTTTAACCAACGTGACTAGTTTATAACTAACAACTAGCTTATCAGCCAACATCTAGTTTGGCAAACATAGTGTTTGCTTTGCACGAGATCATATCCTATAATCAGAAGCACAAGAATTAGGTGGTGGAGCTAGGGTTAGTGAAGGTAACTTACAAAAATGTCTAGCATGGACACAACTTTATCACCAACTTTGAATTTTTTTACTCCAGGTCCAACATCTAACACCTCTCCTGCTACATCAGTAGCTGATACAACAAACAAACAAAAGAAGGGATTTTAGATTTCAAAAGCAAATTGTTGGGGGGGATAAGGTATTGTATATAGAAACACATGATTTTGCCAACACACCTGGTATCCAAGGGAATTTGATGGGGAAAAGAGGGCGCAACATGCCTTTCTGTATTTTCCAATCGACCGGATTTAGGCTAGTAGCCTCAACTTTTAACAGAAGCTCACCTTTACTTGGCTTAGGAATAGGAACTTCAACATGCTACAAAAGCAAAAGGCGTATAAAATTAATGGTTAGTCTTGAATTGTACCAGTAGCACAGAGACTTTATAAAAGCATAAAATCTAATAAATTTGAACTTCTATGCTTTTCAAACGCCATCTCATACACTCATTATGTAATTGCAGGTAATTTCCCCATGTTATTTCAACTTTATTGTCCCTCCCACTTCATCCAATACATATGCAGGAGAATAATTCATCTACAAAACTCTGCCTCCCAGCTTAAAACAACCGAAAACCACTCCAATCATACAAGATAAACAAAAAATGAACACAAGCCAACAAACAAATGATCGATGGAGGAATTGGGAGACAAATAATTCACTACCCAGAAATTGCCTTGATTTCTCAATTTTGTTTTCTTGAAAACATAAATAAACTCATGGGTGCTCACAAAATCGTAGCTTTTGATATGGAACAAAATTGCATCAACATACTAACCATATAACCAGCAAAGAACAATAATTCAGTGTATACAGTGAACTTTGCAAATTCAACTGACAATGCAATGATTTAAAACACAAACTACTACAATCTAATCGGATATAAGCGTCTTTTAGGCATTGGTCTAAGTTTCAGAAGGTTTACAACCATCTGAAGCACATTCTACCTGCCCCTAGCTATCTAGGGTTCTATAAAAATAATCAATAATCTACATCTCCAAAATTCACAATAAAAGAGAACAACAATTTAGTAACAAAATCTCGTATTGATTGATAAATACAAACAATTCATTCTAATTCAATCAAATGTATGTAGTGTACGAATCAATTAAGCCTCTTTTAGCCGTTAGTTCAAGTTTCACCTGATTTTCAATCATCTAAAACACATTTTAGTTTTCCTTTTCTATCTAGTTCTATACTTGATCAGAACTCCCAAATTATAGCTTTTACAACATCAGAGTCTATGACAACAATTCACCAACAAAAACTCGTTGTATTGGTTGATCAATTAAACTGAAATGCAAATCACTTCAATCAAGCCTATTTACTGATTGACCTAAGTTTCATCGTATTTTTAGACATCGGAAGCACAATCTAACTTTCCCTTTCTATCTAGGGTTTATAATCAACCAGCACTCCACGTTTCAGAGCATTTACAACCACATGATCTCAAACAGTACAAAATAACAACGATATACTAACAAAAACTTGTAATGAATCAATTAATCATACAAAAACAAGGTATAACAAAAGGCATACAAGAATTACACCTTCAGACCAGCAGCACCTCCTCCATAAGAATCGCACTGAACCGCATGCATAAGCTTTTCCGCCATAACTACTTAGGTAGAGAGAGAAGATACGAGAAGTTCAGATAAATAGCAATGGCGGCAGCCGGCGACGGAGCGTGAAGGGAATGGAGGGAAAGATGCATTATCGTTGATGTTACGAAAGTGATATATATGGCCATTGATGGTACAGCTAGCTAACTGTTTAGTGTGTATCGTTGGACGTGACGGACTCACATCCACCAGATTAAATAATTTCTAAAAACAACGTTACATTCAAATATTCTTTTCTTTGGTTCCAGATGTCTTTGGATCATATAAAATGGTGATTAATTAAGCTTAAATTGCGTGAAAAAATAACGAACTTTAACTTGATTCTAAGGTTCTTGAACTGTATGAATGATTGCCTTAACGCAACTGATCTACTTCTGTTTCTACTTTTCGTAAGCGAGCTCAGGCTTTTTCCAGCTGTTCGATGGCCCCCTCGTGCATTCCATTTTGGTATTTAAGATATAAAATTTTAAGCATTTAAGTACTCAGGTAACGTGTAACCGGTTGAAAACTAATTTTAGATTGAAAAAAAAAAGATTAATTTTCGATTAAAAAAACCATGTTACTAACCACGTCAACAAATAATATCGATTTGGATACCACATCAACATTATAATCGGTTAATGCTTCAACCGATTACCCGGATACTTAAATGTTTAAAACATTACATATTAGGTACCAAAATAAAAGCTTTGAAAGTACGTTACCTAAAATAAGAATCAAATTAAAGTATGTTGTTTTTCCATACAATTTTTTCATTATTTAAAATAGTTTTTTTTAGACTTTGGACTTATCTGTTAGTAATTTATTTTAAATCTTTTAAAAATATTATTAAGTTTATAAGTGACACTTCTTTAATTTATGAAGGGGTCAAAATGTAAAAAAAAAAAATCTAAACCAGTTTTGCATAAAGCAAATCTATAAATTAACCTCAACACTTCTACAAGTGGTAGATGGCCTCAACACTTCTACAAGTGGTAGATGTGCCACTGTTCGTGAATCTTTTCTTTTCGCATTTTGACTCCTTCATAAATTGAGGAGGTGAAGCTTACGGAACTACTGATATTTTTAAAATTTAGAGAGCGAAATGACTAAGAGATGAATTCAAATTATGAAATTGACTATTTCTATTAATTTCCGATAAAACACTATGGATAATTATTTGATAAAAATTAGACAAATTTTCAATGAAATTAAAGGGCTTCTCAGGTAAGTGTTTACAGATAAAATTCACCATTCTCACTTATTTTATAGATAAATAAATTCTTCATAAGCATCTATCATTTGCTAAAACGCTTACCAGGTAAAAGTCATCACCCTCACTTACTGGATAAGACTTTCGATCCTTGTCTTGCCTTTTATTAGGTAAGATTTTCGGTCATTGCTATGATTAGTCGTCAAAGAAATGAACCCGATAAATACTTTACCCAACAAGTGTTTGGTAAACGACATCTAGTTATCTCTTGCCATTAGAAAACTCTTACCTAGATAAGAGGTTAAAGTGTTTATCTCAGATCGAGGTAATCGTAACTGACCCGAATAAGAGGTAAGTTTTTCTGATTTACCCACTCCAAAACTCTGCTTGCTTTCTCTTTTCTTTCACCATTGTTATCTCCAAGCAATGCTCCATGATTCTTCCTCTGACAAATAAGAGCATTTCAAGTGGAGGTTGTTATAAGAATCTATTTTTTGTATCCTTTCTTCTCATGTCATTTTCAGTTCACCAAATTAATAATCTACATAAAAGTACACATGCATACACACACACACACATATATATATATATATATATATAATTGAAGATTGATCAATATACATGTAGAGATGCACAACTCACAGGGCTTCCAAGCTTGTTTTCAGTAAACAAAAAAAAGATAGCTCAGAGGGTTGCAGTTGAAAAAGGGTTCGCTGGTTATTCAAGTGGCTTTTGCCGAATCTTGAAAAGATAAAGTTTAGCCTCATAATACTTTAAGGATGGGATTGGGCCTAAGCTTGTCCTTCCTAGTTATTAAGCCCATGTTTTTTTGGTATGGGATGTTAACTCATGATGAATATCAGTTTGAATTTCATATTGGGAAATGAGGAGAAGACATAGAGGTATGAGAGGGTAAAAACATGATTGAAAGGTGTCAAAAGTATCTTGAGAACATGAAAAGAAAAAATAATAATATGCATTGGTAACTTGTAATATATGCTATTTTAATTGTAACTTATGATATTTTAAGACTGAATGCATAAAATATTAGTACTTAATGCATTATGAGTTGTTTTTTAAGACTTTGTGCATAAATGTATAGTACATTGTGCATTAAAAATTGTTTTTAAAACTTTTAATAAATCTGATTTATAAGGTAGTATAGATATATAACTATAAAATCAAGAAAACATATAAATAAAATAACAAAATGTCATTTTACACAACATTCAAGGTAAAATCAATATTCTTGTACAAGAACTCAAATAAGTGAGATTCTTATAAGAACTATCTCCAACAGTTGTTCTTATAAGAACCTCCCATTAGAGATACTCTTATATTAATTGAGAAAAAATGATTACTTTTATTTATTTCCACCAATAAGATTAGATCGTTATTAATTTATATAAAGTTTTTTTTAATTATATTGAGATGATAAAAGTATATAATATTTTAATTAATATAATAAATTTTGAACCCTATAAAACAGAGAATCTCTTTATAATTAGATGTAACTTTTTTTAATAAATTTTAACTCTTAATTTTTTATTTAAATTTTTTTATAAAAAAACATTGTTCTAAAAGGCTCGCCGCAACAGCTGACATGACTCAAGGCTTGTGTCTCACAACACGTAAAGTCTATGGTAACTCATGACCTAATACATATTTTATGTAACACGATATATGATTTTTTCTTACCCTTTTAATGTCTTATTTGTTAGTTTCTAATATATCATTAACTCGTTGAGTAAATAGTAGAAAGCGTATGTTTATATTATATATGACCAGAAGCGTAATCGCGCAATGCAGCGAGATAAATCTTAATTTTAATGTTTAGTTTTGTTTTCTGTCTCTATTGATATTATACGATTTTATGTGGTTTTGAGAAAGCGGTAATGTTTTTATTTTTGAATTAAAATATCAATTTGAAGATAACATAAAAATTTATAAAAGAATAAATCCATAATAGTATCAAATTAACTATTTAATAGTTCTCGTTTTTTTGGTGTAACTTCTCTAATTTAATTTAGATTTAATAACAAAATAATTTATTTTTGGTTTAATAATATAATTTTTTATAAATATAATAATTAAATATTCTGTTAGAACTAAGAACTCAATGATTATCTTAATTATATTTTAGATTTTCTATATTTAAAATGAATTCTTATCATGTATTTGATTATGTTTATCAGCAGTTAGTTACACAAATTTAAAAATTGAGCTTTAATAGGTTGTATCTACGCAAAATTACTTGTAATATTAAATTTTAAGTAATATGCATCAATAAACAACACTTCATGCATAAAAAATGATTTTCAACAGTTTTTGTCAAATGTTTTATAATATAGTACACATAGAAAAAATTGTCATCATAAATCATGCATTGAAAAACGTCATGACCTCACGGTGGGACTTGAGTCTTAACTCCGCTGCCACATCACATCTCAAGCCATTTAGAATCTTGTAATCATTTTTAGAAGAAAAAAAATCTCTATATTTAGAGAATTCCGTTCTCTTTCTCATATTTTCTTCATTTTAGAGAAATTTTAAGAAATCTTTTAAAATAAATATTTCTAAAATCTTTATCTATACATTTATACTATATTATAAAACATTTAATAAAAACTCTTAAAAACCATTTTTATGCATGAAGTATTGTTTGTTGATGCATATTACTTAAAATTCAATATTACAAGTAAATTGTGCGTAATTACAACTTATTAAATCTCTATTTTTAAATTCGTGTAAATAACTGCAGATAAACATGATCAAATACAAAATAAACATCTCATTTTAAATATATATATATATATAATTAAAATATAATTAAGTTAATCACTGGTTTCTAACAAAATACTTAATTATCATTCTTATAAAAATTATATTATTAAACAAAAATAAATTACTTTATTATTAGATTTGAATTAAATTATAATGAAAATTTCAATTAAAGAAATTACATGGAAAACGAGAACTTTTAAATTACTAATTTAATATTAATATCGATATTTTTTTAAAACTTATATTTCATTCAAAAATAAAAATATTATCGTTTTCTAAAAATCACATAAAACCGTATTATATCGACAGAGAAAAATGAATAAAACAAAACATTAAAATCAAGATAGATCTATTTGCGTTGCGTAAATACTCTTCTAGTATTATAAAACATTTGATAAAAAAAACTTTTAAAAACCATTTTTTTATGCATAAAGTACTATTTATTGATGTGTATTACTTAAAATTCAAAATTACAAGTAAACTGTACGTAAATATAATTTTGTGTAACTAATTACGGATGAACATAATTAAATATAGGATAGATATCTCATTTTAAATATAAAAAATCTAAAATATAATTAGGATAATCATTAATATTTAATAAAATACTTAATTATTATTTTTTATAAAAATATATTATTAAACCGAAAATAAATTATTTCATTATTAAATTATAATAAAAAAATCAAATTAAAGAAACTATACAAAAAAAAGAATAACTTTTAAATACTTAATTTAATTTTAATATTGATATTTTTTTCAAGTTTTTATGGGATTTCCAAATTTATATTCTATTTAAATATAAAAATATTATCATTTTCTCAAAACCATATAAAATCGTATTATAATATTTAACAACGACAACAAATAAAAATAATAATAAAATCAAGATATATCTCAATGCATTACGCAAATAGTCTTTGGTTCAAAACGTGTTGTACAAGATATCTCTTAAAAACCCATTAAAATGGTTTAAAAGTCCCCAAACCCATGTCACCCGTTACGCGCGTGTATATGGTTGACGGACTGTTGACCAACTGAAATTGGAGATTCCCTGAAAGAAGACCCCACCAATGCGTGTTGTAGTCA